AGAGAGAGAGAGAGAGAGAGAGAGAACCAGAAGGAGAGAAAGGAAATGAGGGGAAAAACGGAGATCGATTTAACAACTTTATATCAAAACATAATAAATTAAAAGTATAATTGTTGACTATAATATGATTATAAGTTTTATTAACATTTATAACATTTTTTAAAAAATGTTCATTGATAAACTTGTTTCCGAATGAATTTATCGTAGCCTCTTCATTAGTATACAGCACCGAGAGAGGCAACATGTGGGTGTAATACGTAACACAAATAAAAATGTAAATGTGTTGGGACCCCTACATGGTGTCGATCTACAGCTATATATGACAGTAACCTAACGCGAGCGCATTATTACACCAGGAGAAAGTAAATCACGATTTCCGCGTCCTGCATAGCGGAACATAATTTCTTCTTTTTTGTGTGATACGATACAAAACAATATTCGACACTTTTTGAAGTGTAACATCTTTAATTTAAATTTCTTTTATAGAACTTCCGCTTTAACTCTTTAATAGCCATATGATTTTCATAAATCAAATATTCAATATTAATTGGGGCTATAAATATAAATAATTTACATAAAAGTAAGAGAGTACAAGTATATATTTTATATAAACTAAGATATATTCCATGAAGAATACACAGATCCTAAGTTATCTATAGACGATTTCGAGTCTCGCGAAACTCACGTTCGATCATTAGACGCCGTGCGATGAGATCCCGACGACGGGCGGTGGCGACCTTAGTAGTCTTACATTGTTTTAAGTCTTTCAACTCACGAGATTCCTAGAGATATCATTGCCATCTTTGACTAGAGAGGAACTTAAAGGCGTTCAGGTATAATCCCATGGATGATAGCTTCGCACCATCCGACCGCCCGACTGAGTGCATGACAATGTTCTAAATATTCGAACCTACGATTTCTTTCCTACTACAGCAAGATTACTTATCGCGATGATTAGTCATCAGTAGGTAATACTAACCTATCTCACGACGTCTAATAAGATATATTAATGTTATATATTTTTTTGTTTATAATTTTTATAATTTTTCAAAATCGCGATATGATAAAGAAAAAAAAAATAATTTATATCGCGTTACGAAAAACCAATGCTTCTATATAAAGCATTTTTGTCATGTATAGAAATATATTGAAACAATATGTCGTGGAAAGGAAAACAACAAATAAAAACAAAATAAATCTGTTTGAAGAGAGCATATATGTAATTCTCGAAACTAAATAGGAAAAAAATATATCATTGTTCCACAATAAGTATTTATCAATAAAAACTTTATCAATAAAGCACATATTATGCAAATAAAATTTTTAATATAATAAAATTATATAATATTTTAATATAATAAAAGTTTTAATATAACTTTTGCATGTATAAAATATTATACTTATTATTATAAAATTTTATCATACATCTTATAAAGAATATTTATTTATAAATTACATTTTTGTGTGACGATACAAAACAATATTCGACACTTTTCGAAGTGTAACATCTAATTTAAATTCTTTTATAGAACTTCCGCTTTTAACTCTTTAATAGCCATATGATTTTCATAAATCAAATATTCATATTAATTGGGGGCTAAATAAATATAAATAATTTACATAAAAATAAGAGTATAAGCATATATAGTATGTAAAATGTAATTTAAAAAATATTTCACGAATTTTCTTGATTTTATTTTTTAGGTCTTATGGCATCTCGACATCTTTCGACGGAGCTTCAGAGAGCTCTCCGGACATGCGTGCATGAGAGAATCCTGCATTTTCTGCGCACTCAAGGTGAGTGAATCAAAATTATGGAAAAAGATAATTCCTTTAATACACTCATTTATTCTATTACATGTGATTTAACAAATTTAAAAAATCTCTCTCTAAATACGCAGAAGAGTTGTCTACAAAAATATATTTATCAACGGCATCTTTCTTTGTTTTCTCCTTAATTATGAGATTGATGATAGTTCGCGCGTGTAATCACAAATGTTTTATTAAGTTATTCTTTTTACATTACGCTACCCTTGACACTTTTTACGTATTGATAGGCTCTGACAACTTCGTCCTAACAAAGAAAAACAGTACCTTAGACAATTTTCATACAAAGAAAAACTCTGATTCTCTATTTTTCCTATTAGATAAGTTCTACGCTACTATGAAATTCAATGACGATCATCTTTCGAAATGATCCCACGGTAACAGCGAAAATGGGGTGTGCCCAGCAGATAAAATATCTTGATATTTTACATGTGAGGAAGCTTATTATTTCCCATTCAATGTACTGTTCTCTTCGCCCTGAAACGCATATAAAGACTAGACGAAGTCGAAATTTGTTCAATCAATAATTACAACAAAGATGTTTTAGATATTGATGTATTTATTATTTAGTCATACATAAATAATTTATTGTATAATTTTTTTCTCATTTTGTTATGTTTTTTTTAATTCACAAGCATGTTCTTAAATTATTGAAATTGAATATCATGAACTTATTAAATAGTAAACAAACCTTGCAAATTTTAGAATAATAAACGTCATTAATATCCTCCTAATAAAAATTTTCTTACCGGATTTTAATCCATAAATAATTAAATATGATATACAATTAATTTTTTTAGAAACATTGAAACTCGAAAATAAAAGATATTAATATAACAGTTATGTTTTTAATATATAGCATAATTTAATTGTTTCCTTCCCTTGTCATTGCACAGATGCTGATAATAAAAGTCTTGGCCTTATTTGCTACCGTGTCATTTTCCCTGTCACGTTCTTTGCAATCATGTAGAGATACTGACCATTGTAACGGGATCGGTGCTCTACCGACAACGATGTTCTCGGTTTTCGTTCGTGATTGGCGAGGAACGCCATAGCCATAACCACGCCGTCATCGCAGGCGTTGTCTACTTTTATCGTGGAGGGTCAGCCGTTTCATCCACCATAAAAGAAGGAACTGGTGTCAGCCAAGCTAGACGCGATTAGTAAACATCGCGTATTCGAGACTACTCGAGAAATAGATGGAAACGCGAGTTCCTCGCCAATCTTCTCACGGGGGGTTAATTAGCAATCTTGAGAGTTAATTGCTTCAAGCGTAGGGTAACTAACGCGCAATTCGCGGGAACGATTACCGGTCGGAAAAACCTGTGTGCGCTTCGTTGTTACCAGATTCGTCTTTCAACCGGCCGCAATTTTGCGGCCGAAATTACCGCAATTTCGGAGAGTCATCCAGCAAAGCTCATTTTCTTACCGTAGAGAGCATCAGGTGTGAACGTTACGCAATACCAGAATATTCGCGTGACATAATAATTGCACGATTTTAGTGTTAGATAATGATAAAGGATGTTCTTGCAAGCTTGCTTAATTTATCCTAATCTCCCTGTCAGATATAAATCGCGCACGCTATTTGTCGCTGGACAATTTAATATTAAGTAATTTCAATTTAGAATACATTTACGTTTCATATATCTTAGAACAAAGAAGAATCGTGGTATTTGAAATAATAATTTTGCTGGAACGAGTTTGAGTCTTGTAATGTTTGAACTTATCATGTCGGGAGCTAAAACAGATAATTTCTGGGATTTACCCCTACATGTAAAAACGATCCAGCCCCTAAGCAGAAATTATTACACGGTAGAAGATTTACCTGTTATGATACCCTGGCTTATTAGTTGAGGGGAAACAGGTTTTCAGAATATGCTGTTTATACTGGACATTTTCTGATATAGGTAACATTTTTCCCAAATGTTTTTAGATAATCTTATTTACATGCAGATAACACATCCTTTCGCAGATGACATGTTATAAATATTTTTCGATAGTTATTTTTACAGCGTTCGTGAAAGATAACAAATAAATCTGTTTATGTAAATAAATTTCACTCTTGCATGCATTTTAAAATTAAGTAATTAATTTATTAATCTGGTTAATAAATTTTTAATATTAATGTTTAAGAAAAAAAAATCACTTGTTATGAATCTTTAAGTAAAGACTTTATCACATCAAAAAGGATTATGCTCTTGCATACCGATATGATGATCAATATCTACTCGGCGAAGAATTTAACCCTAATAAAATACCTAAGATGATTCATCACGCATTTTGGAGGAAGGAAGGATAAGAATGAGAATTCTTGAAAGTTACGAGAGGGCCCTCTATATTATTACACGATTCTCCTTGCGTGTCCAATTTTCCAAGGAATATGCATGTTAAGAATATACATTCTGACAATAAATAAATTTCGCAAATTTTCGTTAAATGCGTTTCCTTAAAATGTCTAATTTACTACAGATACTACTTTCACACAACGTTTTATTATCGGTGACTGATCTGTTGCTTCTGCTTTGGTTAACTAGGAAGAGAACAGAATTTTTAATGTTGTGCAAACAATGTAATTTAGCATTGATGATTATTTATGAGGCAATAGTTCCTCATAAAGTATTTCCTGTTTAACTATTTGCATTTTCTGAAAAGCCGGAATGACTTTTTAAAAATTTATATAATCATTATATTATGAGAATTCAATTCCGATGCAGCTGTGTGATATGAACCGTACAATGTCTCTAATGGCACAGATCATATCGGCAATGCTTAAGCATAATTCTGGTATCTTTGCACATTTCATATTCTGAATACAATTACTTTGTTAGATAATTGGTGTACGTAATTAGGAGAGCGCTCTCTAATTAAAAATATTCGCTGGTGTCGCCAAACAATAACCGTTATCTTCAAAAAACATCTTGCCGTCTTAAGGTGCGATTTGTAACCCCTTTTTTTATGTCGCGACAACTTGTGGTAGAAACACATTTATAGATTGCCACCTCGGTTACGGACATAATTTCCCGCTATTATCGGATCATTTCCGGTCGCCACTAGTTTCTTTGAACTTGAGTCGAAGACTCACTGAAAACGATTGAAACTACAATTTTTGTTTTTATTTTAATAATATAATATAATATTTTTATATTATATATTTTCTTGATTTTTATTATTTAAAATTAATGCGATTATTATTCTTGATGAATTTTTTGAGAAAATCCAATCTGGATAATTCCTGCACGATAAGAGTCTGTAGAGACGTGGGTTACCATTACCATTTAAATACTCGTTCGGAGACAAGTATTTTACAAGCAAACTTAACCGGATTTATATCCTGTCTCGTAAACGAGGGAGGAAATGTTCTGAGTTCTTGAACGTAAGTGGCTACTTCTTTTACGCGACAGTGCCCACGCTTCTTGATTAAATAATATCGCCAACATTTAATAGAACAATTTCCTGTTCAGTTCTATTCTATCTGTAAATGTACGCAAGATCGATATTTTGCAATATGTTATAAGTAATATTAAACGAAATATTTTAGTCTTAATTAAATAGATTCAAATATATTATTTAATTCATATTTGTCCATTTTATTATCAAATCTCTTGCGAGCTTATTCTGGATTTTAGTGATTCAATTGCAATTTGAACTATATAGTAAAATCGTATTTGTCTTTGTACAGTAATATATTAGATCTCTCATGTTTTCTTTCTTAACATTTATTTATTGTATATATATATATTTAATACAAACAATATATTTTTCATAATTCGTATAATTTAGTTAAGTATCAGAAATGAAACATAAATTACCACATAGTCATTGAACTTGTCTATGCAAAACTTACGATATTTATCTTATAAAAAAGTATAAATTTTTTCTTATTTTTAAAATAACTCTTTTTTTTTTAGAAAAAAATAAGTACGATTCAAGAATATTATAAAATATGAATAATACGCATTGTTTACGATTTAAAATATCTTATAAGTCACAGCGTGAGAGCAATGAGAGCATTATAATATACTGAAGAAGAAGAAATAAACTTAAATTGGATCATAACGAATCGTCGTTTAGCAGCACCCATGTTGTGATGATTTTCTTGATACAATAAAAGAATATTTACATTCATCGCGAAAAAGCGATGATTGGATGATTTATCATCTTCCTTTGAAAAAAAAAAATTGGGTTAGCTAAAACTTGTGCGAGTCGAATAATGTCCCGATTGGGCTGCTGTGGGGCTCAGGTTGTTCAGGTGTTCAGGTAGGTAGGTGAACGTAGGACAGCTAAACGGATAACGTCATTGGTTCTCGGTTCTATCATAAGGTGGGATGGAGCGAGAAAGGGGACACTGCACGGTCTCTCTTAGAAAGAAGAGGAAGACGAGGAGAAACCAGAAGAGAGGGTAGGGATATTCGCCAGCGCACCGCGAGTCGCTGGCTTCAGGTATGGGTGTACGGCGCCGCGTGCAGGTAGTTCCGTATTCTTTCTCCACGTTTCTCCGATGCGATCCTCCGTGCTAAGTTTAAGCTGCGAAACTGTGGAAGCTGTGCGCGAGGGAAGGCGTTTTCATTCTCTTCTTGATGATCTCCGGAAAAGATGTTCGCGAGGGAGGAACGGTGCGACATGATTTTCTACTTCCGTGATGGTGCTGTAATATCCTTTTGCGGAAGGTGGATAAGTGCGAGTGTAGTTAGATAATGCAATAACGTAACTATATGTAGAATCTTCTTTTGGAGATTCAACGGAGATTCAAAGATACGGAGCAACTATAGATAAGTGGTGGAAGAAACTTGTTCTTATCTAGAGAAGCTAACGCGACAGAAGGAGGGGAGCACGTGGTATGTGTCATGAAACAAAGTGGTTTACTCCAACATTGAACATATTAACGTGCAATGAAGAAACATTCGTTATTTAGAAGAAATATCTGTTGTAAATTTATAAAAACTACTCTGCTACTCTTAATTTAATGGACTACTGGCGTAAAGAAATGATATTTATAAATATCCCGATAATTTTAGAAGATATTTTAAAGAAGATATTTTTTTCGTTCGATTATTTTTAATACTTGCAGCTGATCGCTTTCTGATGACAATGGACAAGAATATTATTTTAAGTCGAAGAAGATTCGCTACCTGGAATCGAATACTAAAACTACTGTAAACTGATCACAATAATGTCAAATTTGCGAATTGAAAAAAACAACTTTACTGGCTAAACAAGTTTACATTTTTCATCGAGCTCACGATTCATCTGGCACCGGTTCTGCCGGCATATCCGGTATGCAGTTGCTGGATACGATTCTTCCTCCATTCTTTATGAAGAAGCATCTGCTTCTCTGACTCTCGTCTGCCTGCTTGCTCATCTTCAACCTTCGTATCTCTTTTCTCATATTCTTAAATGCTCTCTCGTTTATCTGATACATCGCAATTGTGATTGTAGCGTTATTACTCAAACTGTGACTTACGTCACAAAATGACGCTTACAGCTTTTTTCACATTACAACATTGTTCAACAATTTATGCTCAGAAATGAAAAAGAAAGGACATTTTAAAGGCAGAAGAAATACAAGAGGATTGAAAAGCGATCATTGTTCTCAATTTATTTCGAATAAAACACAGCCGTCGTACGTATAAAACTGAACAAACAAGAAAGATAACGGTGTTATATTAGCCTAAAAAAGAGAAGAAGAAAATAAAACATACTACAGAACAAATATACGAAATGGTATTCTCGGATAAGCAGGTAAAGTATCGTGTGTAGAAATGAAAACAACGTTATCGTGCCAAGAATCTATCATGAAGAGACTTTTGCCGAGTGGAAGTTTGCGTTTTGTCTTTATCTTGTCTTTATCCGGAAGACAATTCATCTTGCATTCACAATGTTTCTTTATTTCGATTTGGAAGCGCATTGGGAGACTCGAACAAATGTATAGATTTTTTACTGTGCAAATTTTATCAAATGAAAATGACAATAATAAATTGTGATATGCGATAAAAACAATGAAATTTACTCCAACTTTAACAGTACGGAAGCTGTAAATATGTTAAAGTGGATAAAGGTCCGTCAAAATGCGTCGGCGACAACATCCATGTCGGCGACGATCTCGCCGTCACCCAATTTTCATCAGGAAATCAAGAGCGAGGAGAGGAAGATTACAACGGAAGATAACATTAAAGAAGAAGGGGAAGACAGCGGTATGGAGAAAGAAGATTCGGTCTGCAACATTGAGCTGAGCGATCTGAAAAAAGTACAATTATATTTTATTGATCTCTTCATAGTTTTTTTTTTTTTTTTTAGTAGAGAGTCGCGTCAGAAAGTTTTTCGAGAATCATAATACTTTTCACAGTAAGAGTAGTACTAATTAATCAAATTACAATGAATAACCGATAATGAATTTAATGATCAAGCTAATTACTCAACAAAGAACAATCCACACGTATGGTTTCTCTCAAATTAGTACAGTCTGTAACTGTGAGAATGCTTCATTGAATCGTCTTTATATGTATACATATAAAATATATGTGGTTACAATTTTACTCTCTCTTTTCTCTATATACGAAAGCATATATATATATATATATAAACATTAAAAATTATGTTAATTCTTAAAAGTCGTTTGTTATTTTCCCAACAGGCCACCCTTTGCGCACGATAGATATTTTATATCCCGTAATATATTGTTAAGCTTAAGAGAAATATACGCGAGCAACATTAATGACCGATAAAACATGACCGCTTTCGTTCGACGCGCACACGCTCGATTTAACGCAATATTTGATAGCGTACACGCTATCAACCTGGCTGGTTTCTTCTACATCAGGCGACACCAAACCTGTCTCGAACAGGTGGTGGCGTTCTCCTCTTCCTGATGGCACATCGACGCGCCGTCCAGCGTTACCAGCGTCGCATTTACGTCGACCGGGGCACGTACCACATCTGTCACTATCGTCATTACCCCTTAGACAGTTAGTACACGATGTGCAGTAACTTTCATTGAGGAATTTCACTTCGGATGCGAGCTGATGTGGCATACTAGGTTGCCACCTCGATCAGCTCAGACGCAACGGACATAACAGAATGACTGGCGGACAAATTCCGATTGGATCGTTGAGATTCATAAAAAAAAAAATCTTAGATCTTTCTATCTTACTATCTTATTATCTTTCTACCTTATTGTTCTTACTTATTATCCCGTATCCAGTTTTTATCCATTTATTTAACACATTTATTACAGCTTTTTTACGAGATTTCGATTAAACTATAACAGATTTGCAATTTGCAAATTTGTGATCTCGAGTTTCTTCTCTCTCTGTTGCATCTGATATTTTTGTTGATGAAATGCCGCGTTAGGCAAGCAGCGGTTAAAATGCTGCACTGACTTTCTATATGTAACCGCTACTCGGTAATCAGCAGGGAGGAGGGATTAGTTACGAAACCCACTAGAACCCCGGCTTCTGCCGATAGGTCGCAAATTACGACCGGTCCGGTACTTCTATTTGACCTCTGCTATGTATCACAGCGGTGACGTACGACGACCGATGATAGTAAAAAATCGATGATAGTAAAATAAGGTAAGGTATGGTCGAGAGATGTCCCCATATCGCATATCCACCGTCGACTCCACTCATCATCGTCGGTCCTCACTCACCTTTTTCTCGTTGCAAAATCGCTTGCGCTTCACGAAATTACCTATGCACCGTCCGATTATCCGACGGAGATATGTTGAATAGGGAAATGAAAGAAGCAGAGCAATGCAGTAAGTTTAGCGTTACAATGTGATTTTATCATAGAACCGTTTTATCAGCGGTGATGTAAAGAGAGCTAGCGTGCAACTCCGTGCAAGAAAATTCAAATTAATCCTTCTCACTCCCTTTTGTTTTTTTTTTTACAAAATATTTTTAGAAATCTTTGCAATTACCTAGATTTTCATCAGGCCAACGTGTTCAGATCATTTATATAATTTTTATTTTGAGATTAAAATTTATTTATACGCACAATGATTTATACACACAAATTTATAGATAAAACTGTATAAATATATATAGCTATGAATTAATTTATATAAACAATTATGTGTAATGTTAGAATCTAAGAAATTTCTGTAACGAACAAAATTTGTTTTGCTATCTAAACGTGTTATTGTGATATCAAAATATCAATTTTTAGAATTAAAATGCAACGCGCATTGTCGACGCGATGTTTGTCTTTAGATTAAAATAAATTAAAGCAAATAAATTTTTATCACCTATAGTACGGTGAAAATTTATTCCACCTGTTGATTCGCTTCATATTCTGTATTTGCTCCTCGCGCAATATGTGTACCTAGAATTTCTACAAGCGGACACATGCAAGAAGATATCGATAGTTCAATAAATATAATGGAGAATTAGATCTTTGAGCCGAAAAACTGTTAATATTGCACTAATACAATATGTATTTTACATCAACTTGTAAATATACAACGATAAAATATACACTTGCATAAACTGAGATAAAATGTACCGGTAGCGGTAATATATTTCTATTTCGTGTATTATTTTCGGTGTGTTTTTGATGTTTGACGATGCTCGGCGACAAGATCTCGTTTACTGACTCGCATAATTAAATCTAGTCCTCGTCGCATTGTTTCGTTTCAGGACCTGTTCTCGCAGCTGCAGTTTTCGCAAGAGAGCGCTCTGCCACCCGACACGTTGCGCCGCGCGTTGGCTGAGAGCTTTCTCGATCAACAGAGGTTTCAGCTTGGTTTTATGGACGACGCGGCAGAATGTTTCGTAAGTGCCAATCATTTCAGATACGATTACTTCTGACTGAGATATGCAGCAAGATATGCGATGGATATGCGATAATGCCAATTGGCAATCGATCACATCTAAAGGTGTTAAAGCGCGCTTGATATAAAAATACATCTCTTCTTCATCGATCAATCATTTTTTTCACTTTTGTCACCTGGTGACAAAACATTTTCTTTTGGAGAATTCTCTTTCTGGATTAATTAAATTTTAAAATTTGCACGAAAAACGAGAAATAATTAAACTAATTTTTTTAATTGTTACGTTTTGTTCGTCAAAATGAGAAGAGAAATGGAACTTTCTTGTTAATAGTACAGAAAGTTTTGTGGTAACAGAAGGTTCGATTAAATATAATCGATTAAGCCTCAGGATTTTCTCTCGCTTTAGCAGAGGCAGGAAAACCCGCAATTTTCGTTAATAAACATTTCAAAGCTGATCGAACGTTTCTAACGGTAGCTAGTTACAGACGAGACTGGTCTTAGCAATAATGATCTTAGTTGAGCCTTGCAAATACCGCCGGTATACTACTTTCTCGTTTACACAACGGTCTCGTTGGACACTAATATGCTCGTATATATGTCAGCACCAATCGGCTGAATAATATCGATGCAAGTTGGTCTTACTTACGCAGCGAAAGTGCACAATAGATGCAAGGACAGTAACAACATAATTGTGTAGTGTAATCGTTATTCTCCATATTCTCAAACGCGAGATTTTTACTGAGATAAATATACGCTGGCTAGTACACGCACGTATTTGCATTATGCAAATTGAATGCGTGAGATTGACGACCATAATCTTCTGCACATTACAAAATTAGAGATACGTTATTTTTTTGACATCATAATCAAAATATCAGGGATGGATATACATATTTATTTGACGTATTATATTTAACCTGTCCTTGCCAAAAACGGTTACGAATAATGCGATAAAAATTGTGTAAAAAAAAAAAAAAAGAAGCCTGCCTGTTAATATACAATTTTTCTTTTTAATTTTAGGAGAACATTCTCCTACGTATACACCTTCATATCGCAAGCGGCGAGGCTGAAGATATGTGTAGCGCGAGGCATTGTGTGCCGCATCAGAAATTTGCCATGACACTTGTCGAGCAAAGCGTCTGTGGAGCTTGCGGAGCAACGTCAGAGCCACTGCCTTTTACACAGGTAATTAATATCAAGTTCTTTACGCATACATTATTATATTATTACATACGCGTGCATTATTATAGTATGAAAAATACGATATTTTTATAAATATTATGCTTGTAAAAATGTAAACTTGATATCTATCATTTTATTGAACGGATCGACTTATTTATTTTCTAAAACATGTACAAATTTAATATTAAATAATTTAATATTAAATAATAATATTAAATAATTTGTATGTTTATATGTATATACGTTTAAACATATTCTTTATTACATACAGAAAGAGACTTCTGTGCAATTAATTATATGCGGTGATTTTGACAACACAGGAGATAAAACACAATGTTTGTTTCCAAAGCAAAATACCAAAGTTACATCGCATTTTTATGTGATCTTCTTTATTTCTTTTTTTATGTTTACATTTTCGTATGTTTACATTATGTATCGGCTAACCACTAAATTTTACCTGAAATACATAAAATCTTTTTCTGTTCTGCTTCTTTTCACGAACATCTGCCCTTTTGAAAGGTACACAATATCACGCTTTATCCTGCCTACCTAAGTTTGTTAGTATCTTTTCTTCTCAAGTTTTATTTTCATAGGATATGAATTTAGGATACGAAAAAAAAAACGAAAAAATTTAGTTTGAAAAAAAAAACGCTAGTATAAAAATATTTTTCTCTAAATAAAATAAAATATTTTACTCGTAATCAAACAAAATATGATATTTTTCAATTGTTTGCTTCGATTTAAAAAACCGTATTCTATTTTTTTTCTTTTTTTACAGTTTTGATTTATATTATATTTATTTTTACTTATTTATCATAGAATTTATCTTTTCAAGTTATACTTTTTATAAAATATTTTCACATAAAGAAAACTCAGGTCATATCGATTTACAACTATGAAAACGAAAAGATATTTTGTTCTTTCAAAAAGATATTGATTTCACTCATTAAAAATTTTGTTTTGTAAGTTTCCCATTGCGTAGCAGTTATATAACGAGTAGTCATAAAACGGATATGTTCTAACAAGTATACGTTTCACTGATATTTGTTTGATTTAATTTACAATTGTAAAAAAATCGAAAGCGGATTGAAATTTAATTTATATAGTGACATATATTTTACTACTAACATTTTCTGTTATTAAGCTTTGTT